AGTCATAGCAACTAATTGAAATATTAGAGCCTATAAGAACCTAATTTCGAGGTGAATGAGTGATCTATGCAAGGAGATCAGGTAAAGAAAAGAAAAAAAGTGGCAGGAGTCCTACCTGGATGGCGGGTGTTCCAGAGAGGGGTCGAGGAGATGGATCTGGCGAAGCCGTCGAGCTAAACGACTGCGAAATAGGCAGACGATGGCAGGACTCAGGCAAAGTGAGCTCAGACTGAAGACAATTCTGCAGCTCGTGAGGACCAAGTGAACTGGACAGAGAACGTTCAGCGCCTGGAATAGCTGAGAGAAGTGAGCAGGCAGGACTCAGAGGCAGTTGGGAGCCGATGCCAAGAGAGTGTGAATCAAGCACCCCGGAAAAGCACAAAGGCTTGGCCGACCGCAGAGTGGCCTCTGAAACTGGAGTACCGCTGCCTCCGAGAAGGCAGTCACTTGTCGAAACACTGTTTAGGTTAGAGCTGGTGACGATGAGTCCGGCGGAGAAACTCGCAGGTCGAGTGGTGTCAGGTGGGCAGACGTCGCCAACGCCGTCTAGATCGGCAGCTCTCGAACTACTGACGAGGCCACAGACGGATCTTCCGACTGCGTTACAGTCGGCCAGCACCGAATGAACTGAGCCCTCTGTGGCGGTACGTCCGTTGTCACTGCTGCAATTGAGACGGTCGATCACATTGCCTATCAACTTGAGCACATCGGTGCCCTCGGTGAGGTCGTCGTCGGCTAAAGAGTTGGACGGTGGCGGCGACATCAGCATCATCATTCGCTCACAGACTCCTCCGGTTGCCAGGACATCGTCGACCTTAGTGCTCCCGATGAGGTCGGAAGTGTCGATCTTTGCGAGTAGGCGTAAGAGCAAAGGGTTTGCGCGGGTGGGTGAGCATGGATGTTTGCATTTGTGTATTGGAGAAACGAAAAAAACATGAAATGCGGACAATGAGAGCGGTTACAACTACAACCAAACTACTGCTCTAGCAACCTTGACATAAGCCAGGTGTGGACAACATGTCCAAGATACTGTCTGTTGTTGAGCTTACTTCCATTTCGAGGGAAAGTGTTGGGTGAAGAGATTCAAAGGTCGGTTCCACCAGAAGACGACGGCGGATTCATCTTGACCAGCTGTCGATTGGCTTTACTGGA